GGAAAATTACAAAATTCCAAGTGTTTAAAGATTGGAATTCAAACATCAGGGTTAAATTTTCTTTGTGCATAAATCAGGTATCAAATAATAATTAAATAATAAATATTTGCCCCAATTATTCGAAAGCCCTAGACACTATCTCCTTGTCACCCATATTTCTCTCCCTTCTCTCTATAACAAATCGCCAACAGAGAAGTCGCCATTGTAGCGACGACGTCTGAAAAGTGGTGCCAGTTCCAATGTGAGACTAGCGCCGCTGCCAGTTCTCTCTTCGATCCAATGTGAGACCGACTTCGTTGCTCGACGTTGATGTGGTGGGGTTTGTGTTGTTTGACACGGTGATGTGGCGACTCCTCTGTGCAGCTTCTCGGTGCCTGATGGTGATGTGGTGGCGTTTGTGGTGTGACATGGCAGCGATGGTGTGGTTGGTGTTTTTTTTTTTTTTTTTGGGTGTATGATGGTGGTGCCGAGTACGGTGGATCTATGTAGGACTGCGATGGTGGCGTTCTGGTTGTGGTCGACGTTTGGTGGTGGTTCTGGCTATGTTGATGGCTTGGTGCGTTGTGGGTGGTGGTGATAGTTGTTGATGCAGGTGGTGGAGGTGGCCGATCAATGGTATGTGTGTGATTTTGTTGGTGCAATGTAGTTGGTGGTGTTTGCTACGGTGTTGGTGTTGGTGTTGGTGTGGTGTGCGGCAGCGGCGGTGGTTGTGGTGATGCAAGTTGGTGGTTTGGGTTGATTGCCAGTGTATTTTTTTGTTGATGGTGGTCTGTGACCTTAAAATTTGATAGTCTGTGATTAAAAATTAAATTAATCTGTGAACTCAATAATTTGGTCTGTGACCTAAACGATTTGGTCTATGGCCTTAAAATTTGATAATTTGTGACTAAAAAAATCTGTGACATATAAAATTTTCAATTTGTGACCTCGAAATAATTCGTGACCAATTAATTTGATAATATGTGATCGGTAAATAAATTTGTGACCATTAATTGTTTAACTGTGACTTTAATATATTTATTTAACAAATATTTTTAATTAATTAAATGCAAACTGAATTTTGAATTTTCAATCTTCTTACCTAATTTTTGAAATGATGTAAAGAATACACTTGAGATTTGAATTTCCCCCATATATATTCCCACGTTAACATCATATCCCAGAATTTATTATGTATCAAAATCCAACAAATCTCCACCTTGATGCCCAATAAACCTACAAGCAATCAAAACACACAGTTAATACTTGTATAATTAAGGTAACCAATAAAATTGGGATCATATACCTTAAATAGTGTTTCCAACCTGCAACACATATCATACATGCTTTATGTACTCACCGGGACAAAGATCAAAAAATCCAAGTAGAAGCAAATATTCACAGTAATCAATTAAGAGCAAATAATCATGCAATGAAGATATAATATACGATAACATACAGATCTTTTCAAAAAATCATGTTTACATAGAAAAACAAATTTAACGCCAAGTTAATTAAACACGCGGTCAAACACATATGCTACAAATGCATAAATGACCCGACGAAAAGGTCTCATCACACTTATCATATGCCATTCCGTATTGCTCATATCTCAAGAACACATATCTCCTCTTATCGCTCACCATGCTCACTGACTGATCACTCAACTCATGTCTAACAATAACTTACTATAGATCCTAAGTTCTCGAGATAATCATTTATTATCACATCACTCCCATTTATGTAGATAATGGGTCGCCACCTAACAGAAGTGATAGAAGTGCCTCACATTCCTCCTTATCAGGATCTCTTTACAGATAAAGGAATCTAACATTTAATCACCTTTCCACTCGTGATCCAAATGTCATATTCCACATCCCCGATACAAACCACAATGTACCCCTACGCATCTATACTCCACCTTACCAAAAGACATACAACAACACTGCTAATGCATAACAAACCCAACTATGACAAATCAACACATTTAGTAACCAAAAAGGTTAGGGCTCAATTTAAATTGACCCACAGACCACAAGGTTACTTCAATCACTAACACCCAAAAAATCTACAAAGGAAATGGTGAAGGTGGCACTCATAAAGAGAATAGAAGAAAAAAGTTGGCTACTTCATTACACTAACAAAGAAGGCTCACAAAAAGGAAGAAGATAACACCCTACATGACTGTCTCACGCAATCTCACAAATCACACGGGCTCACACAGATAAAGGAGAAAACGACTGTCCATCTTTCTTCTCACTACCACACTCTCACATTACTCAGAGTAAATAAAGTACACCACAAATTTTAACTCACTTTGCATGCAAACACATTACACAAAATAATAAGATTGCTCTAATTCATGCAGTTACACACATCAAACAAATTAAACGTGTAACATATCAACGCTATAGAATTAAGCAATCACACATATACAGAAATGATTACACACAGATGCACATGCAGTAACTAGGTTTACTCTCAATAAATCTCACTAGAGTCATCACTTGACCCTATAGCCAAATTTACCTCACCTCTCTTCTTATCTTTCCTTTTATTATCATTTTTAGGACAATCTATTTCACCACGTCCAAAATTTACCACAGTTAAAATACATTTTACTTTTCGCACTTGCCTTAGATCTAGACATGCCATCAATACCAAATAATGATCACAAGCAAAATTACAGACATAATTTACATAGAATAGTCAAACAGTGTAGAAAAGATTTGTAACAAATTCACAAAGAATTTAAGGAAAATAATTAATAAATAATTTTTAGGTCTAGCAACAAGCAATGTTACCCCTTCACGGTAACTCCAATCCTACTGTCATACCACATGATGACTTCTAATGCAAAAAATTACTATCCAAAACAATAGTTTTAATTGCAATAATAAAAGGTAAAGAACATGATACCAAGCTAACCACGTCTGTAGGTTCGTCAATTTGGAGCGTTACAGTTTCATGCATATGGTTTAAATTTTACATGTGATAAATTTTTATGTGTTTTAACTTTAACCTTTGGGGATGTTCTAAAAATAGACCTTTGAAAAAATTGATATTTTAAGAGATTTCATGTTCGATTTGTTATTTGAATTTTGTTGAATTGTGTAATTGCAAAATTGAAAAGCTTTGTTAAAAAGACCTACACTATCTAAGAAGAGCTTGGGATTTAAGCGGTCCGTCTGTGACCTCCCTCCTCATCTGGAAGCTATTTAATTATGGGTTATTCAAATCGACAAGATGAAAGACAATATTTCGGACAATTCTAAATTTAAGAAAATTCAAAATTTTGAAACTTCTGTAATGAAATGGGATTTTGTGAATTTTTTTTTTTTATGTAAAATGGGATTACATGCCTTAATTAATATGTAATTGTATACATACTTTGAAACAAATCTTTCAAATGTTAGCCGACAATTACCTTTGAGTAAATATTAATTTTTATAATATAAGCAGTTGTTATATAGCTCTATTAGTACTTATGTGTTATTACTATGATTTTATGTTTTATATGTTTGTATTTAAATAATCATTTATAACGTGATTTTAAATAACAATATTGTTGTTAGGAACTTTTATTTCTTGACTTTTTCTATTCTAAGAAATTCATAAATAATTATAGTCAAATTATTTAAAAAAATACGTGATTAAAATATTCAATTTATGCAAATTTTATTTCTTGTGCTACTCTCTCTCTCTTTTCCTTTTTTTTTCTCTCTCTCTTTCTTTCTTCACTCTTTCTCTTTGATGTATGTATTGTATTTATTTCTTTTTTGGTAGTCAATGACGAGACTTTTGACATTGTATTTATATTTGAAAAAGACTAGAATTTTGGTGAAATTGGGATGAAAGAGACATGTACCACCAAATTGGATAGAGCTATATTTTTTGATAAAGCAAATTATGATGTGATTCATGTACTTGATTGTGATAGAGATATATATAATTAGAATCAAGCTACATGTACACCGAACTTGACAACTCGGTGTACATGCCTCTCACACGAGGGGTGGGGCCGGCGCATTATATGTGTCGGGGCCCACTTTCCTCATGTGAGGGGAGTGTATACCAAGCTGTCAAAATGGCTTAAGCCATATAATTAATACTTATTAAATCAAAAGTAGAATCATGGCCAACCACTGCAATTACAATTACACGTAGAATTCATATATATCTACATTTGTATTCATCCTAACATGTGATTTCAGTTTTGGATTAGCTAAAAGAATTGTATTCATTTATCAACACTCAATTTGCCATCATTATCAAATATAATTTGGATTATCTGCATAAAAGAATCCTCCAATAGGATTTTGAAAATAATAATAATAATAATAAATACAAAGGTAAGGAATGATTGAGATTTTTTTCAAAGTAAATCCACCTTAGATTTATTTAAAATTAACTTAAGCTTTGTCCTAAAATAAAAGATTAATAATTCTCTACCTAAAACTCCAAGTGTCTACCCAATGCAAGTTAATATTCTAATTCTTCTACATGTGAAACTGGTGGCCCCAATTACACCAAATCCTAAACCAATTTTAAAAAAAAAATAAAAAATCTATTCCTAGAAATGCAATATCTTTTGGCCTAAATTATCCAAGTTAACTTTTTCTCAAGCCTAAAATTCATGATTTAATATGATCTATCCAACAAACCCAATATTGATATATTAAATCTTGATCTGTGGAAATCTAATTATTAGACCCAAATAAAAGAATAGGAATTTAAACTTATTTCATTTTAGTCACATTTTTTTCTAAATAATAAAATATACTATATTTGTTAACAAATGGCTTTTATTTTTTAAAATTTTCGAGGCATTACATATTGTGAGACAAAGTTCTAGTAAAGTTTCCGAGTTTTCATAAAAATTTGAAAAAACAAAAACTTTTTTTTGAGTTTCCAAAACTTGTAAAGAGTTTTGATTTCCAAGGCTTCCATGCAGTAAGATGGTATGATGAACAATATTTTAATTTATTTTCGTTTCTTTCTGATTTTCATGTACTATCGAGTTCTCGCTAGCAAACATATTATTATCACCATTGTTAAGAATTAAAGCTATAATCTCCTTCCCAGCCAGTTATCCCCAGTTAACAACAGGATTAATGGCTGAGGAACTTCTTTTGATAAATTTTCCATACAATTCACATCACAATATACAAGTAAATATGTCCCTAACGATAGTAACTACGATCATCTACTCTGAAAGAAATTGAGTTCCCAACGACGCTGCAAACCAGCCATAATATTCGTTGTCGGGTTCTTCACAACTTTTACGGTGACCCTCTTATGATCAGCCATGTCGATATCAGATAGAGCATCTCTACGGGAAGAAGCCACATTCTTTGCTGAACTGTCATTTGGAGAAGATTCACTAATCTCTGCTTCAAAATAGGGAGTAGATTTACGTAGAGATTCTCTAGGTAAATTATAATCATTGGCTGCTGAAGTGCTGGTGGTGGACAGAGTTTCAAACAAGTTACCCTGCGTAGAAGAATAATCGTCTGGTTCCAAATTCTTCAGCGACTCAAACATGGCTTCCATGAACATCTGCAAATTGTGGAGAATAATACTTCGTTTTAAGATCAAGAATGTGTGAATCTCGAAGACATTAGTCTCGAGAAAAGAATAGATATTCTCACCCTTTCTTCTTCCCCTACATTGCTCGGGAAATCTGTGGCGTTTCGGCGCTCCACGGATTTGTCATAATCTATGGATGCAGGTGTATGATAACTGTTGACACTGCCGCTAGAAAGTTCAAAGCTGATCATATTAGAAGAAAACTCACGAGAACCAGATCCAAAACCTTGTTCCTGCAGGGCACAAATTATCTCGGTGAAACTCGAAAAAGTCACAAATTTTCCCCAAGTTCTATTCTGTCGAAGCTATCATTTTAAAGGAAGGTTCATTAGAAAATTTCTGCTCAACAGGTACCTGTGCATCTAATTTTTTATCTTCGGATAATAGATCTGCCAGGACCTGAATAATGCAATTTAAACAACAAAATCAAAATCCGACTTATATTCGAAAGATTTTATGCATAGATAACAACAATAGTGGTTATGAACGGAAGAATAAGAGGAAATCAAGATTAGCACTTGATGAATATCCTGAGTTTCACGTATGAAGTATTATTTACTACTACACCGGCAATAAACTTTTTGGGTACCACAAGACGAGACCGTGTCCGAGAATACAATATTAAACCAATTATTTTTCTAGAACTTTGATCTTCGTGTTAGAGAAAGTATATCTTACCACTATGCTGGAGCCAAGACGCTTAATGGCATCTTCTGTACTATCAGCTGCTCGACATGAACAAATTTGCAAGTCAACTTCCTCAAAATCATAAAAAAGGAACATCTTGTCTCGTAAAGGTTAGCAAAATAAAGAACTAATGGTATGTTTTGTAAATTTTATCGGACACTTATGAGAGACAACTAAAGTCCTGTCTATTGCACCATTCATTTCTATCCAAAACTACAGACCAAAAATACCTTAAATACGTACCTGCAGGCAAAACCAATAAATCATCAGTGTGTTCAACATCACAAGCAGTGCTCAATTTATCCTGGAGGTAGTAAATCAATAATAAAATTCGTATAAACTCAGAGATCTCGCTACTAACTCAGGTCCCAGAGTAAAAACCATAATGCCAGAGTCTTAATTTACCTCGCCGAAATACTTGGGAGACAAGTCAAAAAGTGTACTCGTTAGTTCATCTGCTGGAGTTTGTAATATGTTGTTGAAAAAGATACTTATTGAATCAAAATAAAATTGAGGGCGCGGGGAGTTATGATCACCCTCAAATTTGATTATATTCTTTTCCCCCTGCGAATCAGTTAACAAAGTATAAAGGCAGGAATGACTAAAATGAAAAGGAACGAGTGAGACTGATGAACATAGCAAATACATATTCCACATACTGATGTAGTCTATATTACATTTACTGATCATTTCGTGCATCACTTGAGAAGATCAACAAATTGATGGAGGAAATACGATACATACATAAAGACCGAAAGTGTACATAAATCAAGATGCAGAAGTTAATTTTCTGCCTTGTCATAACGAAAGATAATTAGAGATAAAAAAAAGACAAATGGTGCAGAAATACTATCTGTTTCCGTTAACTCTTTTTTTAAAGTCAATTTTCATTTATGATGGCAAAAAAATTTCAACATGGAGGAATCGAAGTGACAGTTAGACTTAATAACAAACAGTAGCAGATTCTGTGTATGAAAATGTTGTAAAAATTTGAGGAACGAGGATATAAAAGGCAGAGAAGCACAGTATGAAAATATATATATGTATGAATAACAATATTAAGCAATTTAAAAATGAATTACCATATAAGCATCAAATATGCGATCAGAATGATGGGGTTGTATGAAATTGTCATCAACGGCATGGCCAATCAGAACTGGAACAAAGCAAGATTTTGCAATCTACAAAAAGAAGTGGTGGAAGTAGAGTTATATAGAAACTAAACAGTAAATTTGGATACTATCCAATTATAATGAGTTGCCACTTTGAGCTGTTCAAACATGTGGAGATACCTTGATTGTGTTCAAGTTCTTAATGTCGAAATTTGCCTTTTTCAAGACCGCTCTTCGCAAGTAGCGGATTGCAAGCTTAACCTAAAAAGAGGGGGCAAAAGCACTAAATAGACAGTTCTAGCCCCAAAATGAAGAAAGAACAAAGGATTGTAAATGAAAAGATCATAATTCCTATGTTACTAATTGATTAACTTACGGTTAACTTAAGAAGCCGAAATTTATAACTGTCCACCAATTCCATCATCAAATCAACCATATTCGAGAAGGGGCTGTCCAGGACCATTCCTGCAATGGAAGGATCCTCAGCTCCATACATCAGGCTGAAAGAAGCACAACGTAAATCTGAATGATACTCATTACTGCATTAGAATCTCAAAATTTCTTTCCTTATGATGAATATATAGATCTGATTTGACCTAATATGCGAATTCTGTGATTTCATCTCCTTATCAAATCAAAAAATATTTGACATTTTCCCACATTGCATTAGTAAGAGACATCAAGGAGATGAAAGAAACCTACTAACCAAGAAACAGCACCCATTGAACGTCCCCACAAACCAATTGAAGAAATGTTCTCATCTGCCCGTAGAAAATCAATTACAGCTCTGAGGTCGTCCTTCTGCAAAATCAGTCCAGAATTTGCCAGTTGAGGTATATTTGCACATTTTGGTTATAATACATTCTTCTTAGAATCTGGGGTTCCTGCATGTTATTTCTACTCCTAAAGGATGTCACCAAGATGAGAGCCCCTTGGCATTTTTCTAAAGATTTATACACGAGAGCAATTTAACTGCACAATTCCTAAGCAACTCTATCAATGGGAGAGAGAAGAGATAGACAAGTTACTCAGCCACTTACTTCCTTCCAGCCAAGAGTGACATACTCTCCTCCAGAGAGTCCAGAACCAGAGAAATCAAGAGCGAAAACTGTAACATTTGATGGCAACAATATAATAGCAGCTTCACTGGCATCCACTCTGGAACCACTGGGCACAGACAGATAGATCATTAATAAACAATGGCTGGTGACCGCTCAAATGTTAAACTCTACTTAGATCTCAAATTTCTGCATGATACACAGGACATAGGTCCTACTTTTCTTGCCATCGAGAAAAGCATGGGACCATTTTTCTAATATATTTTTCCCTGTTCAGATAAAGGTAACATTTGATATTCTTTTGTAATTACACTGCAGCCTTGGATTAAGCATGTTTTCTATTAACCTATTTCCATGGCAGTATATTACACAGGGCAGAGCAATTCCTTCCGGCCAGATCATAGGCATGTAGTGGCTACATTGAAGAACATATCCTTGATTATTTACAACCTGCAGGATTGATACAGGATTTAATTTATAAGGTTCTTTAAAGTCTCAAAGATCCAAAGTAAAACTGATGATCAATGTTATTTAAAAAAATAAAAAATAAAAAATTCTTACATGCAATAAATACCTACTCATCATGTCAATTAAGCACTAAGCACAGATTTCACAGGGAAAAGAAACATGTAGGAATATAGCACATTGATATTCTGGTTGGATTTGAGAACTCAATAGAACACGTCATTGCCTTGAAAGGCCTTAGAGCGTCCTACGGGAGGCTCACAGAGAGAGATCCACATCCCAGTTCCTTAGAGTTTACAAGGGTCCATAGACTCTTCATTTATAGGCACCCTTTGGCATCTGCTAATAAATTTATATATACTTACATATCTACTTAGTATCCAATATACATATGTTTATATATATATGTATGTATATATATATATATATATATATATATATACATACATATATATCTTTCCTTTTTTCTTGATCTAATAAATCGTTTTCTGGATCATATACAGCCCTGCAGTGAAAAGGCAGAAGCAACAAATTTTAATGAGTAATAAAATCATCAAACACAAAATCCAATAAAAAATGCATATCCAATACTTTAAAAGAAGTTATTTTCAAAAATTTTAGATTCATTTAAATGATTTTATCAAAAAGAAATCCATTACTAAAATCAGGAATAATGTCTGTCAAAGTTTTTAGTTCATGATATTGATACCATATCACAAATATGGTTTAATCCCTTTATTGGGAGGATATTCATTCTCTTATCAATTTTATCCAACAACTTTTCTTCTTTGTTTTAGTTGGATGGTTCGGATCCTCGACCCCACAACTATACTATTTAAGGCTTGCTTGTCAAAGATTTTTTCAAAATCATTTTTCCCCAAAATTATTTTAACCACACATTCTATGGGGCCCACAACTTTTTCCCAATTTTTAACCAAGCATTCTGAAAAAAAAATCATTTTTCCTTGAAAAAATCTGTGCCAAACAAGTTTTAATAGTAATATTGATTTTACTCTTCCATACATTGCATACAGAGAACAAAACATAAATGCATGAAAGCCCTTGGATACAGAATTTCTCAACATTTAGCCATAAATTTTTGAAACTACCGAATAATGCAATAAAAGCTTCGACATTCTGCAATAAATCACAAAAGAGTTAAAATTGTCACATCTTGCATTGTATTGTC